TATCAAATCTGCTCTGACCTACAAGAAGCACTGCCTGAACATCAAGCAAAAAGTGGGTGCTAGAAACAATATCCATACAAAAGCTGACTGGCACAACCTGGGGATCACAACCAGACACAGTAAAGACATCTGCCCTTGCGCTATGCTACTCTGCTGCTGAGTATGCATGCCCGATGTGGAACACATCTCACCACACTAAAACAGTGGATGTGGCTCTTAATGAGACATGCCGCATTATCACAGGGTGTCGCGCCCTACACCACTGGAGAAATTACACTGCTTAGCCGGTATTGCACCACCTGACATCCGCCGGGAAGTAGCAGCCAATAGTGAAAGGACCAAGGCAGAGACATCTCCAGCTCATCCCTTGTTTGGGTATCAGCCAGCACGTCAACACTTAAATCAAGAAATAGTTTTCTTAGATCTACAGAGACACTCGCTGGAACACCTCAGCAAGCGAGAGTCCAAAAGTGGCAGGCTCAAACCCAGAACCTCAATCCATGGGTGATACCAGATGAGAGACTCCCTCCTGGGCACACAGAAGACTGGGCGACTTGGAAGGCGCTGAACAGACTGCGCTCTGGCACCACGAGATGCAGAGCCAATCTTAAGAAATGGGGCTATAAAGTGGAATCCACGACATGCGAGTGTGGAGAAGAGCAAACCACCGACCACCTGCTGCAATGCAACCTAAGCCCTGCTACATGCACAATGGAGGACCTTCTTGCGGCAACACCAGAGGCACTCCAAGTGGCCAGATACCTGTCAAATGACATTTAATCAACTACCAAGTTTGAAAAATTTGTGTTTTTTTTATCTTTTTGTTTGTTTTGTTCTGTTAGAAATGTAATACAATGGTCTGGTTGCTGATGACACGATAAATAAATAATCAAATCCAAATTTATTAAATCTGCACATTATATTTCTTGTGACATGGGGCTAGGAAACAATAAAGGTGGAGCCATTCATAAGTTCCAGGAGCACAATCCCGGTATCAGGAAAAATCTCTAGTTCAGTTCTGAATTTTTGATTTTTCCCATAGAAGAAACCAGTCAGTGGCTTCAGTTTTTCCACAAGGAACGAGTGCTCAAAGAAGTTACCACAGGGCAGCACTGGGGTATTTTCAAATACGTCCCCACAGAATTGTGAACAGAATTTAAACCTTAAATAGATTGTCAATGTGAGAGCATTATATTGGTTTAATAAGATGCAAAGTCTCTGAAAGTCAATTTGGTTAGAATAAGGCAGGTGAAGATTTTGAGAGAATAACCCACATTAACTGAACCATACTTCCACAGCTTGCCACTTGGAACTGATGCACTGCTGGGATGTTCGTCATCATTAGATGAGAGTGTGGTTTGGGGCAGATAGGCAATAAAAATTGCATCTCCTCCGCAGAAGCCTTGCTTCCTTGGGATGGAGGGGCTGAAGAATGAGTGCTGAAAGGTTTTATGAGTCCCCTCAACCGCTTTCCTCCACCTCAACCCCATTTCGACACTGGCACATATAAAAAACCCTTGGCTCTTCCTCCTCTCCGTTCTTGGACTTCCTTTCAGGACTTCTTGGTTCAGGTCTCCTGGTTGCAGCAACATCTGGAATCTCTCTGTGGTTTTGCTGGCAATCCTGATCATGGGAACGGCATATATTTTTATCCTGCCAACACTTCAGGTAGCAAACGCGTCCCTGCAGCTCTTTTCTTGAGATGTTGAATCACCAACAAGAGCCATGCAACAGGTGTGACTGATTGTTGACATTTTCTTGGCCATCCACTTGGCCTGAATATGCCCTTGCGCTGTTCCAACACATAATGCCCCAGCTGTACTGTTTTCTCTGTTTTGATCCAGTGTTCCATTGAGAATGCTTCTGAGATTCCATGAGAGAGAAAGAGGGATACACAAATTAATTGATACCCTCAGTAGCATACATTAATATTGGTTTTTGATCACACTAGCTCTGATTCATGCAATACAGGTTGAATATCCTTTATCCAAAATGCTTGGGCCCAGCAGTGTTTTGGATTTTAGATTTTTTGGATCTTGCAATCACCTGTTTTTGCATATATTTACAACATCTTGGAGATGGGAACTAAATCTAAACATGGCATTTGTTTATGTTTTATATACAGTTTATACACACAGCCTGAAGATAATGTTATACACAACATTTTTCACAATTGTGAGCATGAAACAAAGTTTGTGTACATCGGAACACTGGAAAGCAGAAGCCTCCCAATCTTATCCACCCATGTGGACAATTTTGGAGTATTTCCGATTTATGGATGAGGGATGCTCAATCTGTACAAACTGAGAACTATACAATTAGGATATTAGATCCAACAACCAAGACTCTGTATTATGTCTGTATGAGAATCATGCACAGCCACTCCTTGAATGGGAAGAATTGAAGGCTAAAGGCAAACCAACGGACAAACAAACACACCCAGCACCTAAGAGCTGTTTCCCTTTTTATTCTTTGAACTATTATCTAGAGCCCCTGGTGGCACAGTGGATTAAATCGTTGAGCTGCTGAATGTGCTGACCGAAAGCCGATGGTTCGAATCTGAGGAGCAGGGTGAGCTCCTGCTGTTAGGCCCAGCTTCTGCCAACCTAGCAGTTTAGAAAATGCAAATGTGAGTAGATCAATAGGTACCGCTTTGGTGGGAAGGTAACGGCACTCCATGCAGTCATGCTGGCCACATGACCTTGGAGAAACTTAGTAATGGAGATGAACACCACACCCCAGAGTTGGACACAACTAGACTTAATGTCAAGGGGAAACTCTAAACCCTGTTTTCAAAACCAGTTAGGTTTACATAAAACTGTGGGCATACGTTGAAAGCATTTTTGTCATTTATCTTCCTTCTTAATGCAGCGTTCTGCATTAAGGCCGAGCAGGGTTTCTTCTAATTGGAGATGTTAGAGGTGAAAATGGGGATCTTTGGCAGCCAAACAGGTGCTCCACCATGGAGTTATCTGGAAGGATTGGGCCCACTTTTCCTTTCCTCAGAAGACCAAAACTTCAGTAGACTTGCCTTTCACTCGTCAAGTCGAGAGCAAGACAAATGTAATTTTAAAAGAAGCTTATTTTTCCTGCACATTCCTGGTATACATTTCTTGGTGGCGTTTAACTCTGCCACCCATCTGTTTTCTCCCAGCCAAGATGTGCCCTGTGGTAATTTCAACCCAGAAGTTGGCCCGCTTGAGGACACTGTGGCATGAGTTGTTCCTCAAAGCAGCAAAAGGGGTTTATCTGGGAACTTATGAAATGCTGACTCGGTCTTGGGTGTTCGTTTTCCCTTTATTATTATTACGTTTTCAACCATCTGCCTGGAATCTCAAACCACAGATTTCTATACCGCATTTCAAATTACCCGTGTATCTGCTGCAGTTTGCCGTCCTTCGATACCCGGCCATTACCAGCCTTGCTACAATCTCCAGATGAAGCAAGCATCGCCAACATCCTTCAATGGACCCAGATAGAACAGAGGGAGACCTTCTCCTGAAAAGTACAGAAAACAAACATGACATCCTCTCTTTAGACTTTAAAACCAGCCCTGGGGAATGTAATGCTTTCCTCCGCAGGGCTATTGAGAAGATATTTCCATCTCTGCAGGAGTCTACCATATACCATGCTATTGTGAATAAGTCTACATAGGGATCACCAAATGCAGCAGCATTGCTCAAACACAAATCAAGGAACATGAAAGGCACTGCAGACTACTTCAACCAGAGAAGTCAGCCATAGCAGAGCACCTGATGAACCAACCTGGACACAGCATATTATTGCAGAACGCAGAAATGCTGGACCACTCTCACAAACACCATATCAGGCTACACAGAGAAGCCATTGAACTCCACAAGCATGTGGGTAATTTCAGAAAGGACAAAACCATGAAAATGAACAAAATCTGGCTACCAGTATTTTAAAAAATCGAAAATCATAACAGTAAATAAAGAACAACATTCAAAAACAGGGGAATTCCAGACAAGAAACAAATCAGGGACAGCTAATCACCCCCAACAAAGAATTCCTTCAGGCAGTAAGAAGCCACATCTTGAAAATTGCTAAGCTATTAAGCTATTCAATGCTAATCAAGATGGCCAACTGAAACATTCATACCTACCTCCCACCCTGGATCTTCCACAGATATATAAACCTCCCTTGCATAGCTTCCAACATTCACACCCATCTCCAACAGACAAGGGTTCTTTCTCCCACCTTGGACATTCCACAGATATATAAACTCAATTTTCCCTGTTTCCAACAGACCTCACAACCTCTGAGGATGCCTGCCACAGATGCAGGCAAAATGTCAGGATATAATGCTTCTGGAACATGGCCATATAGCCCGGAAAACTCACAACAACCCAGTGATTTCGGCCATGAAAGCCTTCGACAATACATCTTTCCATCTCTTTCTCCACACAAATAGCTGGTCTTCTAAAGACAGGCTGCCATGGGCATCAATTGAATGTGACATCTGGTTGACTCATTCAGTGCCTTTAGGCTTTTCAATAGTCTTAAATCTTCAAATAAACGCATACATATTGATTCATGTTTTTGATAGGTTTACATTCTGTTGTTGTGTGCCTTCAAGTCAGTTTCAATATACAGCAACCTCAAGATGGCCTTATCACATAGTTTGGTGAGGATGAGAGTGTGTGACGTGCTCGCTTTCCATGCCTGAGTGGGGAATTGAACCCTGGTCTCCAAAATTGTGGTCCAACACACAAATCTGTACTGGTTTTAATATGAGTTTGGAAGGCTTCTTGAGTCCCATTGTCCCATTGTTGTGATCAAGGCAGAATATCAATGAAAATATTACCATCATCGACATCATTATCAAAGCTTCCATGCTTATCATTTATGTATGGAATAATAGATGTGGGAGAGAAGTGGTAGGACTTGGATCAAACGGATATGCATTTTTGGTCTGCAATGCCACCAATTGAAGCTCCCAGACTGTGGGTTTTATATGGTAGATTTCCTTTCCTTTACAGGCCACCTCTTCTATAAGTTTGGCATCACGGAGTCTGACTGGTACCGGATCAAGCAGAGCATAGACTCCAAATGTCGAACGGCTTGGCGGCGAAAGCAACGAGGGCAGAGCCTCGCGGTGAAAAGCTTTTCAAGACGCACACCCTCTTCCTCCTCCTACAGCGGCTCAGGTAAGGAAAGGCTTCTCCTCCTGGTGCAGACTAGCAAGCTGGGCAGTGTGTGACCTTCTAAGTCAGTGTTTCTCAACCTTCCTAATGGTGCGACCCCTTAATACAATTATTTCAAGCATTTTTACCCCGCCCTTCTCTACCTCCAGAGGAGAGACTCAGGGCAGCTCATGTTGTTCCTCATGTTGTGGTGACTCCAATCATAAAATTATTTTCATTGCTACCTCATAACTGTCATTTTGCTACTATTATGAATCGTAATGTAAATATCGGATTTTGTAATTTGAGAGTTGTAGTTGCTGGGATTTACAGTTATCAAAGAGCATTCTGAACTTCAACGATGGAATTGAACCAAACTTGGCATACAGAGCTGCCATGACTAAAGGAAAATACTGGAAGGGTTTGGTAGACACTGACCTTGAGTTTTGGAGTTGTAGTTCACCTACATCAAGAGAGAGCACAGTGGACTCAGACAATGATGGATCTGTAGCAATCTTGGCACAAATATTCAATATGCCCAAATGTGAACACTGGTGGAGTTTGGGGAAAATAGACCTTGATATTTGGGAGTTGTAGTTGCTAGGATTTATAGTTTACCTAAAATCAAAGAGCGTTGTGAACCCCACCAATGATAAAATTGGGCCAAACTTCCCACACAGAACCCCCATGCCTTGAAGGGAGTTTCTGGTGCGAGCCACTCTCCAGCCTCGCACGCTCTCCCTTGCCCCACACATGCGCACCATGCTGCCGTGCACTGAGCACGCCTGCTCTCTCCTCCCTGCTTAGAGTGTCAGAAGCAGTCCTCCCCTTGTCTGAGAGGTCAGCCAATCACAGCGGAGGAGGGCTTTTGGTGGGAGGATTTGCCTTCTATTTTTCAAAAAGGAAGAGAAGGACACGTGGAGAGATCTTCAGCCTTCTCTGTCAAAGGGTTCCTAAGGCCATCGGAAATATATGTTTTCTGATGGCCTTTGGCAACCCCTTTGAAACCTCCTCATGACCCCACAAGGGGTCCTGACCTCCAGGTTGAGAAACCCTGCTCTCAGTGATGCTGGACTGCATTTCACAATTCTCCTTACCATTGTTCTTACAGCTTGAGCTCATGGGATTTTAGTTCAGGAACATCTGGACTATCATACAGCACTCATCTCTGTTCCACAGATTTGACTACTTTGTTCTTTCTAGGATTTTCTAAGTCTACCACAAGGGTCTTGCACCCCTGGCCCCTTTGAAAGTATAGGCCCTGCTGTGTTTTGAAAAAAGTCTCACCTTTTCTGAGAGCTCAAAGTATCCAATGAGAAAGTAACTAATAACATTAGTAAAACACTGTGGAACAACAAGTAAAGTGCAACAGCAATCATAACAAACACATGACTTCCTACTACAGAAAGAGACACAGATGAGTGACGGGGATTCAAAAACTACAGGCTTTTTTACCTGGTGCAGCTCTGCAGCTCTTTCCCGTGGCTTCTTTTCTCTAGCCTTTGCTTCTCTTCTTGGAGAACAAAGACTGAAATTCTTGGAAAGCCTGGCGCTTGGACACAACAAGAAGCAAAATAAACGAGCGCATTCAGATGTGTTTTATTTGGCTCAATGTTGTGCCAAATATGGGAGCTAGGTCGGGTTTTCCCCCCATGAAGGGCCCCTTTTGTAGAAAAATACAATTAGTATTGCTAATAGTTCATTAATACCCCAGGTATGAGAAGTCTTTTAAATCGTGGAGGTGCCTCAAAGGTTTGAAACAGAAAGAAAAAAAGACTGTACTGTGTATTGGTTCCATTCAGAAAAGATGTCCCATGTTTTCCATCCTGAAATGTTCCTATTGTCACAAAGCTCAGTGAGCAGCTTTGCTCTCCTCCGTAGGCTTTAAGCAGAAAGAACAAATGGCAAAGGAATGTCCTTTTGGGATTCTTCTGGCTCATGTTTATATTAAAAGCAGGGCTGTGGGACATTTGTATGTCCTGTATTAAAAGCAGGGGCTTGGGAGGAAGCCCAAAAGAAGGGAAATAAGCTTATTTGCCCACATGAAGGTTTGGGTTAATGCTAACCGCTCTACCATTGGCAAAGAATGACAAAATTGGCTTTTTTAAAACTGGAAAATGTTATATTCTTTACCCAATAGGCCTCACCAAAATGACAGCTAAGAAGTATAATGTCTATGCTATCCATGTCTATGGTTGAGGATTTTCCCATCCAAATTTTAATTTTGTTGTTTTTGTCTGTAAACCCTATACAAGGAAAAGTGAGAGGTAGGTCTCTGGGTGATTTGTGGTAGATGAGAAAATGTTGCATTGCAAAATAGCAAAGGCATCGTAAGTTTTATTATTGAAATTAAGCTGCTATGTGATTGTTGTTAACAAATAAACAACAACCACCACGTTGCACCTTAATTTCTGCTTCTTGGTGCCTTCCTGGACCAGCCCACGCCAGAGCTCCCTGTCGGCCGTGGACACTCCCAGCTCCTTCAAGGTCAAGCCAGTCTCTTCAAGGATGCCACCCACCCACCTTGCCCTTGGTCGGCCCCTCTTCCTTTTTCCTTCCTTTTTCCCCAGCATCATTCTTTTCTCCAAGCTTTCCTGTCTTCTCATTATGTGGCCAAAGAACTTCATCTTTGCCTCTAATATCCTTCCCTCAGTGAACAGCCAGGCTTTATTTCCTGGAGTATGGACTGGTTAGATCTCTTGCAGTCCAAGGCACTCTCAGGACTTTCCTCCAACAACACAATTCAAAAATGACTCTCTTCCTTCGCTCAGCCTTCCTTATGGTCCAACTCTCATCCATAGGTTACTATGGGGAATACCATTGCTTTAACTGTGTGGATCTTCGTTGCCACGTCTGTGTTTTAAATGTATCAGGAATCAGCTGGCTTTCCCTGAAATAGGCAGTAAGAGCACCTAAAGCTTTGGAGAGCTTCTGTTCAACCATTTCATAGCTCCCTGCTTGAGTGGTGATGGCATGATAGTCACTTCTGCATGATGGTCCAACTCTCATCCATAGGTTACCACGGGGAATACCATTGCTTTAACTGTGTGGATCTTCGTTGCCACGTCTGTGTTTTAAATGTACCAGGAATCAGCTGGTTTTCCCTGAAATAGGCAGTAAGAGCACCTAAAGCTTTGGAGAGCTTCTGTTCAACCATTTCATAGCTCCCTGCTTGTGCGGTGATGGCATGATAGTCACTTCTGGCAGTGCCTGGTCATTTGTGTAGATGTTAAACATTGATGGAGCAAACACACCTCCTGAAGCAGGCCATTTTTCTATTTTTGTCATCTGCTTCTCTGGCCCTGGAATTCAACAAAAAAGCTCCTGTTTTGTAGCAGATTTCCTATGAGGTGGGTGACGTGGTAGTCCTTTGTGATATTGTAATTTTTTCTCAGGAGAAGGCGATGATTTACAGTGTCATAAGCTGCTGACTTATCTATGAAGACAGCGCCTATAATCTGTTTCCTTTCAAAACCATCTTCTATGTGCTGAGTCAGGTTCAACACTTGTGATGTGCATCTTTTGCCATCACTTTTGCTTCTGTTATGCAGCATCCTGATGACTAGGGAAACTGCAGAGGGAAAGTAAATTAGCAGCACAGCAGTTTGGTGCTGAATAGCTTTCCACAGGAGTGTCATGTCTTGATATGAAAAGCAGGGCTATATTGGGACGATCTAGACTTGTCCACTTTAAATGCAGAAGCAAGAGAATAGAAATAAAGGGCGAGAGGAGGGGAAAGAAAGAGGGAAGAGAGAAGATATAAACACTCAAAACCATGGGGAAGGAGATGGAAAAAGGCAACTTGATGCTCTATAATTCTGAAATTATCTGTAATTCTGCCTCTGTGTTCAGGTAGTTTCAGCAATCACTCTTAGCTTGGAAAGCTTTGCTTGGAGTTACAGCCCTGTAAAAGTCACAGCTCTGTGTAAGCTCTCATATCCACCGAACAATACATCTTGCAACTTTCTCATTGATAGGTAGCAAGGAAAGTAGGCAATATTTCTCGGCTCTGAAGGGATCGGAGGCCTGGGTGCTCCTGCTTATGATAACAAAGCTGTCAACCATGGCTTTGAAACGTGTTAGTTGGAAACCTCAGGCAGTTTTTCTACAATAACATTTGTTTCTGGGGGCAGCTCAACTGACACTGAGAAGTGAGCCGGGATCGACGTATTTTCAAGGAACGCTCCCCCACTTTGCCCCACAATTTCTTTTTTGGGTGGATCAAGCAAAACAGGCAGCCACGTTGGTCCGTTGCAACAAAAGAAGCACAGTCTTTCAGTAACTTGGAAACAAACACATTGAGCTATATTTGGCTCTCTTCGAGAAGGCTTAAAGTCAGCCCTTGAAAGCTTAAGCTGTAATAATTTTGTCAATCTTCAAGGGGCTCTTTGTTGGGCTGATTGGGTTTCAGTGGCTGGGAGGAAGTTGGCTGGTGTTAAGGCCACAGACTCAGGAGGAGACTTGGGTTGCTCCAGAGGGGTTTATTTGTCCTGATCTTGCAGAATGCAGAAGGCTGCAGCCTTCTCCAGGGACAGAGCCAGTGTGCCTCTGTGATTCCCCTTTGTTTTGTATATGTAGTTTGAGACCAGCAGGAGAGCATTATGTCCTTCAGATCTGGCTTGTGGGCTTCCTTAAAGCAGAGGGACCTTAAAGGGAGGTCGCAGAGGGTCTCCTGATGTTCTCGAATAGCAGCATATATACCAGCAAAGGAGATGGAAGAAGGCAATTGGTTCTCTATGCCCTAATACCATTGTCAGTTGGGTTTCCTCAGGCTCCGTCTTGGGACCTTAGACTTCTGATTCCGTGCCTATAACATCAGACCAGGATGATACTTTAACATCTGTTGGTTCTGCCCTCACCCCAAAGATTTAAGATACCCAACAAAGAGTTCTGAGTAATCCAATACAGAAAAACAGACCTAGGATTCGTGGCATAGGACTTGGAAAAACCCCTAACATAATGCCACTAAAAAAAAAAATCCTTTTGAAATTACTGCAAAGGTAGTTTCCTCTTCCTTCTTAGTC